TATTATTAAATAATAATAACATTTAAGATTTATTTTTATTAGATAGAAAAAGTAAAAGAAATTTAATAACGAAAAATACGTTATACATGTATATCAAAATTAAAGAGCTTTCACGGATTATTTCGGTTTTGTTAAGAACAAGTACGGATGGGATCGAATAAAATAAATATTATAATAAATATCATGCGGTGCGAAGTTTTATTATTGTAAATCTAAAATCATCGAGGTTCTCAAGCGTGCAAAATATTCTAATAAGACGTGTCAAAGTGTTGAGTGAAATCTAAATCACTTTTCTCTATTTTACAACAGGCTTCAATATCTCCATATTGGACCTATGAAATAAATACAAATTAATCTCTAACGCTATTTTCAATATCAATATTTTTTTAAATATTAAATCTGTATACAATTTTTTATAAATAGAAGTCTCTCGTGAATTATATACAATCATCTAAAATAGACTTAATTCTTTAAACTTCTTCTATCAAATTTAATCGAGACTAATATGTTAAATATTAGATATTAATACCAACTTTACACGATATAAACTGCCAAATATTTCAAACAATTGATATTATTATTAATAAAGTAAAAATATAATGAAAACCTATATATCAACTGTATAATTTCATTAATTATTTTTTATTATTAATTAATTTTATGTATAAGTTATTAACGCGACAAATAATCTCTCTTTTCTCTGTTAAATATGTTCTTAACTGCGAGATTTTTTTGTAAAACGTCGAAAATTTAGAAGTGTAATAAAATCGTGCGATCGATTGTGCAAATCGTAGTTTTTGGTCATCCATGGCTCTTCAAGAACAACAATTTATTTCAAATATATTTACGTAAATATGTAAACACACATACAGTTCTCTCGCGATGTTTGACAGCCTACTTGACAGTAAAATATACGGTATAATCCGAACATTAAAATACGTTCGAAACATGTTAAATATACATCTACTCTTTAATCTAATATTCAAAATTTAAAATTTATTTATAATATTTAACATAATATTATATAATAAGTATAATATACCTATATATCAACTGTATAATTTCATTAATTATTTTTTATTATTAATTAATTTTTTAATAATTATTGAAATGAATGCATAAACTTCTTAAATAAAAAATATATACATATAATAAATAAACTGTCGAGCGATTCATAGAATCGACTTATGGTTCGTGCTCCGCAGTTTAACAAACATTTACCTAAAGAGCATAAACTATTTATTCTGATGATCCTTATGATCTGATTCTATCATTCGCTTCCTGCTCCTCCTCCTCCTCCCATTCCTCCTCCCATTCCTCCTCCTATTTGAAATCCTCCTGATGCTCCTCCAGATGCTCCTCCGTATCCTTCACCTCCACCTCCTGGTGGTCCACCTCCTGGAGGTCCTCCTGGTGGTCCTCCTCCATTTGCCGATCGTCGCACCAAACTACTACTACCATGTTTCATCGTACTGAGAAATCCGTTCACCGGTCCCTTCCATGCCTTTAACTAAATATTATCTTATAATATATCCGATAAAAATATGAAAGAAATTATTTACATTTTTTTTTTTTTTATTTCAAATTTTGTCGAATAGAAAGAAATTTCATTGAAATAAAGCATGACATTATACATGTTTAAATCATTTAGCCATGCATGTTACTTACATCTTGGAAGTCCTGGACCGCCGAATCGGCGAACTGAAAAGACAATTAAATTTTTTTATTTCACGGATATAATCTTCGTAGAATCTAATTGATATTAAAATATAAATAATATTATAATTATCTTCTAATACTAAAAAAACTGATAACTCTGAATAATCAGTATTATTTAACATATAATGAAATTGCGTAGATCAAACGTTTCAAATGTTTCAAAAGATATTATTTGGGAAAAAGTAAAATGACATTATTTACATTTATTCTTTCGATAATATATCAGGTATAAAAATTTGTTCTTATATACGTGCTTTCTTTTTATTATTATTTATATATTTAAAAAATTCTACTTTTTATATTTAATTTACCGTATTTATGTTAATACAACATGTATGATTTGCACGTTACTTTATCCTAAGATTATAAATAAATTATCATCGTAAATTTCTTACCACCAGCGTCGCGCAAAGTAAAGTAATGAGGAATAGCTTAATCATCCTGCTTAGCTTGATGCACTATGCACACTGGTCCGCAGAAGCCTTCTTTGCTCTTATATAAATCCTATAATCTGTGACGCGTTTACGTATCCAAATGCGAAAAAAAAAACAAGCCCATCGTCGACAGGAAGTAACGCAATTTTGATTGTTATCGCGCTTTTTGCGCAATTTGCGACAGGATTTGATATATAAAGTTCTTGAAGCAGCAGTATAATTATAATGTTTCGCCCATAGAGACACAGTATATTTAGACCGAGTGTTGAGGAGTGGGGGCCAAGGTGCACGTAGAAAAGGACATACTCTGTTCCGTGCCCCTTACGTTCTCTCTCGCTCGCATGTAGCATAGCGAAAGAGTACGCTATGCTACGTGCGAGCGAGAGAGAACGCAAGGGGCACGAAACAGAGTATGTCCTTTTCTACGTGCATCTTTACCTCCACTCCTATTTTTTGCGATCGCTAGATCTTATCGGACGCCATGTAAAATATTCCAACGACGCGAAGTATTTTCGTAAAAGACGCGACAACTTCATACCGACGCTACACTCCCGCTTACGTCACAGGACATCGTTCGCTTATCTAGATTAATTTTGCATACCCTGATTAATTCAATGCTCGACGTTTTCGTCACTTCCCATCACACGTACGATACATTGTGAGACGCGAGAAACGAGGAAGAAATTAGCGAAATACGATGCCCGTCTGATTATTTAACTTAATTAACGATCGATTAATTTATCGTCACGTATCTCAATTAGTTCGACACTCTCGACAATCGTCCGAACGACGCTACGTAAAAACTCGGACGACGCGAAGGCAACTTCGTTCCGACGTCACATAAAAGTGAAATATATACGCTATATCAAGAATATTTAACATTACGTATACGTGTATGCATTAATTTTAAAAACTCGAACAACGCGAAGAAACGAATTTCGCATCGACGTATTTTCGCCGAAACGTAAATACGTCTCGCGATACTGAAACCTGATATTTTCATCACTCGATACATTCCGAACGTATACGAGAAACTAGTGAAAAAAATGCTGTACACACGATACTTTCGACGCGACTTATTACGCGAAAATTATTTCTCTAATCAAAAAATTTGAGCCAACGAACAAAACTTAACGCGCATATTTTCGATGAGTTAATGAAATAAATATTAAGAGTGAAAGTGTGAGAGAGAGAGAGAGAGGAGGGAGGAAGGAGGGAGAGAGAGAGGGAGAGAGAGGGAGTGAGCATCAAAATATCAAGGTACATATAACAAGATCTAATTGTAAGAGAAAGAGAGAAATTCGATATTGTCCGCACATGTTTACCCAACAAGTATCATCGCTCGACGACTTCACTACACTCACAATCAGTCCGTGAGGGCATGAGCGTGTGTGGGGGAAGGTTGGCGAGTCGCGAATAAAGCGCGATTACTAACCTATTTCCGCGCGCGTCCTCCTGTCGATATATAACCTAGTGAATGCGCGAAAAAGGACGACGGACGAAACGGATTCGACGACGCGACTAAAGGCGATGGAGCGGACCCGACGACGTGATTAAAGAGGATGGAACGATTCAAAGATTTGTAATTGTTCTAATTCTAATCTATCTCCGCGCGCGTCTCGTGTCGAAGTATAACCTAATGAGTGCACGAAAAAGAACGACGGACGAAACGAATTAGACGACGCGACTAAAGGCGATGGAGCGGACTCGACGACATGATTAAAGGCGATGGTACGAATTCGATGACGCGATTAAAGGCGATGGAACAGACCAGCGGGGCGGATAACGATAAAACATCGTTCGGTAAATACATCTTTTTATTTTTTATTTGTTTATATTGTGATTAATGCGTCCGTCGCGCGTAAAGTTATGTATAAAGTTATTAACGCGACAAATAATCTCTCTTTTCTCTGTTAAATATGTTCTTAACTCCGTGATTTTTTTGTGAAACGTCAAAAATCTAGAAGTGTAATAAAATCGTGCGATCGATTGTGCAAATCGTAGTTTTTGGTCATCCATGGCTCTTCGAGAACGACAATTTATTTCAAATATATTTACGTAAATATGTACATACATATACAGTTCTCTCGCGATGTTTGATAGCCTACTTGACAGTAAAATATACGATATAATCCGAACATTAAAATATGTTAGAAACATTAAATATACATCTACTCTTTAGTCTAATATTTAAAATTTATTTTCATTAGATAGAAAAAGTAAGAGAAATTTAATAACGAAATAGTACGTTATACATGTATATCAAAATTAAAAAGTTTTCACGGATTATTTCCGTTTTGTTAAGAACAAGTACGGATGGGATCGAATAAAATAAATATTATAATAAATATCATGCGGTGCGAAGTTTTATTATTGTAAATCTAAAATCATCGAGGTTCTCAAGCGTGCAAAGTACTCTAATAAGACGTGTCAAAGTGTTGAGTGAAATCTAAATCACTTTTCTCTATTTTACAACAGGCTTCAATATCTCCATATTGGACCTATGAAATAAATACAAATTAATCTCTAACGCTATTTTCAATATCAATATTTTTTTAAATATTAAATCTGTATACAATTTTTTATAAATAGAAGTCTCTCGTGAATTATATACAATCATCTAAAATAGACTTAATTCTTTAAACTTCTTCTATCAAATTTAATCGAGACTAATATGTTAAATATTAGATATTAATACCAACTTTACACGATATAAACTGCCAAATATTTCAAACAATTGATATTATTATTAATAAAGTAAAAATATAATGAAATGCTATATATCAACTGTATAATTTCATTAATTATTTTATTATTATTAATTAATTTTTGAATAATTATTGAAATGAACGCATAAACTTCTTAAATAAAAAATATATACATATAATAAATAAATTGTAGAGTGACTCATAGAATCGACTTATGGATCGTGCTCCGCAGTTTAACAAACATTTACCTAAAGAGCATAAACTATTTATTTATGATCCTTATGATCTGATTCTATCATTTTCCTCCTGCTCCTGCTCCTCCTCCTGCTCCTCCTCCCACGCGTCCTCCAAATCCTCCTCCTATTCCTCCTTGACCTCCACCTCCCTGTGCCGATCGTCGCACCAAACTACTACCACGACCCAAGTGATCAGCCATACCGAGAAATCCGTTCACCGGTCCCTCCGCTGCCTTTAAATAAATATTATCTTATAATATATCCGATAAAAATATGAAAGAAATTATTTATATTTCTTTTTTTTTATGTTTTAAATTTTGTCGAATAGAAGAAAATTTCATTGAAATAAAGCATAACATTGTATATATTTAAATCATTTAGCCATGCATCTTACTTACATCTTGGAGGCCCTGGACCGGCAAATCAGCGAACTGGAAGGACAATTAAATTTTTTTATGTCACGGATATAATTTTTGTAGAATCTAATTGATATTAAAATATAAATAATATTATAATTATTTTCTAATACTAAAAAACTAATAACTCTGAATAATCAGTATTATTTAACGTTTAATGTATAGTGAAATTATGTGGATCAAATGTTTCGAATGTTTCAAAAGATATTATTTGATAAAAATAAAAATACATTATTTACATCTATTCTTTCGATAATATATAAGCTATAAAAATTTGTTCTTATATACGTGCTTTCTTTTTATTATTATAGTATATTTAAAAAATTTTACTTTTTATATTTAATTTACCATATTTATGTTAATACAACACATATGATTTGCACGTTACTTTATTCTGAGATTATAAATAAATTATCATTGCAAATTTCTTACCACCAGCGTCGCGCAAAGTAAAGTAATGAGGAATAGCTTAATCATCCTGCTTAACTTGATGCACTAGTACACTGGTCCGCAGAAGCTTTCTTTGCTCTTATATAAATCCCATAATCTGTGACGCGTTTACGTGTCCAAATGCGGAAAAAAAAAACAACAAGCCCATCGTCGACAGGAAGTAACGCAATTTCGATTGTTATCGCGCTTTTTGCGCAATTTGCAACAGGATTTGACGTATAAAGCTCTTGAAGCAGCAGTATAATTATAATGTTTCGTCTCTGCGACGATCTGCACACTATTTTTTGCGATCGCTAGATCTTATCGGTCGCAATTCGACACTATATGCGACGCGCATTCGTCGTTTATTGTCTACCGGAAATACATTTATGATTAGATAATATCCTTTTGAAATGTTCGCGTATTATTATGCTACGTTTAACTAATTTCAATAAATACCTAGATATGATCATGAAGAATTCAAAGCAATTTTTTTTAATTTGTAGATTTTTTTTTAAAGCCTTGTAAGTACAACAAGCCCATCGTCGACAGGAAGTAACGCAATTTCGATTGTTATCGCGCTTTTTGCGCAATTTGCAACAGGATTTGACGTATAAAGCTCTTGAAGCAGCAGTATAATTATAATGTTTCGTCTCTGCGACGATCTGCACACTATTTTTTGCGATCGCTAGATCTTATCGGTCGCAATTCGACACTATATGCGACGCGCATTCGTCGTTTATTGTCTACCGGAAATACATTTATGATTAGATAATATCCTTTTGAAATGTTCGCGTATTATTATGCTACGTTTAACTAATTTCAATAAATACCTAGATATGATCATGAAGAATTCAAAGCAATTTTTTTTAATTTGTAGATTTTTTTTTAAAGCCTTGTAAGTCGTAAATTGCAATTTTTGTTTCTTATTTTTCCGACTCTGATGATATCTTACGTTTCAATTGTCGTTATGAAGATTTATTGTGAACAGTTTTCTGACGAGAGATTCAAAGTTATTCCAAATTAATCAGAAAATGTAATCAGCAAAAGAATAATTAAATACCGATAATCATAATCGTTCCTATCCGCATAAATTTGTATTATGAATTTTTAAAAATCTATTAAAACATCACGTGAATCAATAAAAATACATTAATAAAGAGCTTATCAACAAGAATCTATTAATAAATTAGTTTGCGTACAAGACAAATTCAAATTTGTCTACTTTGAAAAAAAAAAATTACAAGCTGTTTTTTCGCAACGTATTAACTTGATTTACGCATGTCCGGATTTATACGACGGATTATAAATCGGATCAAGAATCGATATTCTATGCCGTAATTCCCGAGTATATAATTAATTTGTTTACGGAGATCGTAAAAAAGATGGGTGACACCTGTTCTCGCGACGATAGCATTATCGTTAATCAGCTGAAACAAACATTTATATTTTACGGATGATTATTTCGCGAAAGAAAGTCCAGATATTGATGACGAGCGAGGCACGAATAAAGTAATCAGAAACGCGCATTTAATAGAATTTAATTCGCTGGAAAAAATAAGCCAATCTCGACGAAAAAACAAGCCAATTATCGTGAGCAACTATTCATATCGTGAGTAATCTGCGCTTTGCGACGAGATAGATGATCAAGACCGTCTTCACGACGTTATCGCGCATGCACGGATCGTTCTCTCCGAGATATTTATTGCCTCTTTCTCTCACTTTCTCTCTAATGCCGATAGATGCTAGCTTCTAATTTTCATCTTCTGTCGCGTTCCCTCAGTCATCGTCGAAGGATGCCTAGTGAATAAAAGCAAAATTGCTCGCAACACAAAATTAAACAAAAACACGAACGTAATTTTTTTTGTACAACGCGTCTAAAAGAATGATAATAAATTATACTGAATAATTTTTCTAATATTTTTCTTTTTGTGTTAATTTTTACGTGCTCCATCCAAGAAAATTTCGGTGAAATAGCGAATTAATTTATTGAGTTTAACCTAATTTTTGCTATCATGATCATGACTTAAGAACTTGGCATTTTGTGCTTTTACGAAAATGATAGTTCATCACATTCAGTTTATTAAATAATTTCTGACAAAATACGCGTCGTAATATCGGTCCAATGATCACTATTACCGAGCAATGAAATTATATTGATCTTGTAGAAAAGTTTTAATTTTCCTTCTTGTAAAAAAAAAATAACGATTCATAAATTAGCATAGGCAATACGATTTCTCAGTACCGCATAGTGTCCTTCAAGGATTACGTTAATCCGACCAAAGCATTGCGGATCGCAAAGTTTAGAATGGATAGAGAGAGAATTTTATTCGCGAGGAAGAAAAGGATATTAAAACGGGGATTTATTACGTCGACAGTAGAAATGCATTAAATTATATCCAAGCACTCACATTTCGCATTAATACGGCGGTAATATTTTATACGGATGTAATTACTCGTAACTGTCTTGGAGCTTGGATATTTTCCTAGACACACGTGACCGAAAATAGCAATTAAAAAAGCGCGGACCTACGCATCGTGCGTGCATCGCGGTGGCCTCTAATGACGTCGTTCCGCATTTACAGTTATCGCGAGTAGTGCAAATGAAAAAGAGAAGAGAATGGAAAGTAATTTATTAATGTACTACGGCGCGTGCGAGCCGTATACGATCCGGCTAATTAATACATTTTCACGTCTTTTCTAATGATACTTGAGCGCATCTTGGGATTGTATGTCCCGTGATTAATTTTATAAAAGGATACTTGTGTTCATCGAACTCTAATATTAATTTATATATAATTATTAAATATATTATAGATGTGTATAACTGTCTTATTTAATAATTACTCTTTAGCTTGATATATCGTTTAAATAATAAAAAGTAAATTTTTCCTATTAAAATTTTATTATTTGGCAATTTTTCGCAACGCGAACCGTAGTGACTCTTTAGATACATAATGAATATATTGTACAACGAAAGCTTGAGTAATTCTCTTCTATCTTATTGTTAATAATAAAAGAGAAAGAGAGAAAGAGAGAGTGCACGATAGTGTCGGCCGGCATCGATGTCTCCGAGGTTGCTCTCTCTCTTGCGCGGCGATGATCTCCCCAGTGACTCTGGTCGCTCTGGATCGAGAGCGCAAAGCTGCGCGAGGGCACGCGAGAGGCGCGGGGGACGCGGACGGCGCGATGGTACCCTCGTGCTCGGTTTTTCAAGCGTGCCTCGGAAGGGCAGGGGGCCTGATTGCGCGGGATTCCCGCTTTGAAGTGGCACCGCCGATGTTCTCGGGCCGTCTCGACTCGTTACCGCTACGGGATGCGGCGCTCCCTTTCTTCTCTATCTCTCTCTCTTTC